GGGGGGGGGGGTTCTGGGGACCATCAAGCTCTAACGCCTGTAATAACGAGCCCCACAACTATCGCACCACATCTGCATGCAGCCACGCAACTTAAAGCATCATGGACGCATTGTGGGTGGAGATTTCATCATGACGCAAGGCTGATAATATCGCCACTTTCACCGCTTATACAGTTGAAACTAATGACAACACTGTTCCCTGTGGTTAAAGCGCTGCCCCACGCCATCACCGGACTGCAACCCTACTAGTTTTGTTCCAATTCCCTACAGTGAAGCATGGTCTACTACACGGGGAATGAACATCTCTCCCTCCACGTACAACAATCTCCACATTCCGTGATATAACGCAGTAAAGTTGAAAACTCTTACTTAGTTCAGAATGTGGTTCCATCGCAAATGAACGTTACTCTGTAACCTACGCAGGCTGTCGGTGTTTTTGTGGCTGGTAAATGTGCCCATAAAGACAGATAAAAAACCAGGGAGTAATGCATGGTAAAAAAAAACCTATGCGTCATACAAAATCAGGCTCTGTGAATATAACGCCGGGGATATATTTACCCGATATGTCGCTATTCCATAGAATGCGGCTGTCAGCAGGCGCAGATGTGGAAGGCTTTTTCTCCTCGGATGGACTGTAAACTTTATGAGGTTGCTCTACAATGATTTCTTTTTTTTTTTTATAAAGTAGGCCCGGTTTCCCCCTTCCTCGTCCGTTGGCTCACTCTAGCACTTTAGTCCTGTCTTGGCCGCTCGTCCCCCATCTCGCTATCCCACACTCTCTCTTTCTCTGCCCGCTCCTGTCCCTGTGCAGGAAGTAAAACGCGGCTCACGCGAGCGGTATATGGACTGCGAGCAGCCTGACATCATGCACCATTCCGTATAGACTTCTTTTTTTAAAGACACAGACGTGACACAGACACAGGGGGCTTTCGGGTCGGAGCAGGTAAACTGCCCTGCTACGGTCTGGGGGGGGGGGTGTGTGTGTGTGTGTGTGGGGGGGGGGGAAACAGACAGTCAGCCGCGGTCGGTCATATGCGCCTTTACGGACACATGAACTCGGTGCACCCTGCGGGCTTAAAGGTGTACAGTACACTTCTGCGCCGTAGATTAGTTTCACAACCTCGTCGGACGCGCTAGCTTCCAACCCGCTGTGACTGCTGTCTTATTGGAACACAGTGGAATGCATTTAGAGCTATAAGTAGGACAAGGGAAGGGGGGGGGGGGTCACGGTTGAGATCCTGAGCAACATTTACATGTGTGGGTATCTCACGTGTCCTTCTGTGATGACAGGCTGGACGACATGGTGCGCATGTGTGCGATTCTGCTCAATTACAGGCGCCAACTGCTGGCGGTGGGACCCAGCTCAACTTTTCTGAACTGCAGACTAAACACCTATCTATCTATCTATCTATCTATCTATCTATCTATCTATCTATCTA